AAAACTGACTGAAAGTCATGTTTGCCACAACTGCACCGCCCCCCACAAACATTTCACTAATGTTTTTTTTAATGCTTTGTCTTCCATTAATACATGTTTGACTGATCTTGTGGGGTTTACTTGTTTTAGCTACAGAGCCACATGACGTGATGCTTCAGTTTCCTTGTCATTGACAGAAAGTACAACCTTCTTTCTCTTAATGTAAGTAGGTTATACTTTCATTAAAACACCCCAGAGCTTGGTCATCAAATATGGGCTTTTGGTCGTTAGCTCGTCGTTAGCTAGCACCTTTCAGCAGACATCATTGTGGCAAGCCATGAAAATCAAAACTTGAAATAATCATGATCATAATTCTTTAATTTTGCTTTGCTCAGAGTCTGGTTTGTCACTCAACACAACTATAGCTCCAAAAAAAAAATCTATCTGGCCTCTGGCACATTTTAGCCTACAGAAAGTAGGCCAGAAAGTGAGTAAAAAAGCATTCAAATCCCAAAGACCTTAAGAAGGCTCAAGGAACTACTGATCAGGAACTGCTTTATGTTAGGAAGGGGTAAAAAAAACAAGAATGTACTTTGTTTGGTCATACCTTTCAGAATCTGACGAACCTCATTCGGCAAGGAGTCCAGATCATCCAAACTGTCCAACAGGTGGTATGCTGTAGCTTTTCCTGATTGCCTTTTCTTCCACTCCAGCAGCATTTTCAGCTTTTGCATGTTCAGACAGTTTTCCACAACCTGGAGGTGATCCACATATTTCGACTCTATGCCCAGGAAGATGGCCACCTGCTTCCACTCTGTCCCAAGTTGGCGGGCGATCTGCAGGAGCTGCTTCTCTGACAAGTCCTGATCCTGAGTCTTCCCTGCTTTCACTCCATCTGGAAAAAAGAAAGAGACGTAATAAAATAAAAAAATAAAAAAGCACATGCACTTTATTTTAACCTCAAATATTTTGGACATGGTTGTTTTACAGAATGTTTAAAATTGAAGCTTGTCTTCATTGCTGTTGAGGCCATTATGCAGCCAGGATCTCAAGTTGACTAAGCAATAAGAGAGGGAAAGTGTAATCCTTTGTTCTGGAGGACATTTCATTTAAATCCCATGTCTAAAAAGGTTCTAACAAATTTCCTCTTCACCATCACACAAAATGAAGAATATCTTATCCCAGATAGCACCAGGTGGAACTGCTGTACATTTTACTATCAAGAAACCTAAAAAGTTTAGCCAAAAGCCTTCAGCTCATCCAACAAGTTGCAGTGAGAGTTCTGTTTATCTCCTAGACAAAGCAATTATAGAAGCTGTTGGAGCGACCAACAATACCTACTCCGTTTTTCATCCCATGGATTTTACAATTATCTCACAGCTCATTATTTAGCTGTGTTGTTCTTCTAGATGAAGCCACTAAAGAAGCTGCTATTAACTGCTTACTTTTTCTCTTATGTAAAAAGTTTTCCTAAACCAGTGCCTCTGTTCACTTCAGTTCTCTAAAGCCCCAGCATGTTCAATATGAGGGATTTAAGCAAAATTAAACTCTCAATGCAACCAACTCTCCACTGTTGTGGGACAATAAGCTATGTTTCATTAGAAAGCTT